TATCATCGAAAAAAAAGTTTTCCTAACAAGGACTCATGGAAAAGACGTTTAGTATACTAGTTTCAAATTTGTTACTTTTTTAACATAGTTATTAAGCTTATGGCGCTTAATACTGAAAATGCGTGGTGGCTCAAATTATGCATCCGGAAGTATTAGGTATATATTTCATACTCCGCCGCGTTGCAAGAAATTCCATCTCAGATACATTTAATTTTGGCGCCAGAATTGACTTCATTCAACTTGTACTAACTTCTATCCAGATGCTACATAAATGTCGCAAACAATTATTTTCTTCATCCTGTAAAACTGTCAAAATTGAGATAGTATCCGTTGCCAGTTTGTTGTCGATATTGGAAATAAATTAATACTATTTCAGAAATGTTCTAGAAAACACTTATTCTTTTATTTTTAACAGAATAACTAATGACATTTTCAAAAAGTCTTTTTTTTACATAGTCTATATTATCGATATCAAGTAATCGAGTTTTGTTCGCAAATTTTCAAAACCTTACATTTAGAAAATAAATTATGTCCGCAGTTTCAAAATTTATCACAATAACACTGTAAAGATTTATCTCATTTACGCTGCACCAAAAAGACAATTGATTAGACATGACGTAGGTTTCGAACACTGTGATTACCAACAAAAACATTTAACTGAATTAAACTGCCGCCCGAGCTTGCAAAGTACACACAAAAAAGTTAAGAACTTGTGCTAGAATGTTTACATTAAATTACAACTACAGTGTGTATTCATATTTTTGAAAACGATGCCATTATGTCTAAAATCTAACGTTCCGTAGTTTTAAAAGTGGTTACATAATTATAATAAAATCACAATCTTAATCGTGTACATTGTAATGAAAATGCATTGTATAAATATACTCGTATATGAAAATGATATGGATACATATGCAAAAACCACGAGTGTATACTTTTCACTGATTGTACTTTGTTTACTTTTCCCTGAAATAAGCGGGATAACTTTTTTTTTAAACTGCGCCGTGATTACATATTTTTGAACACAACTCAAGGTACTAGGTAGGTGTTTCTGAAATATTTAATTTTTTTTTTTTTTTTTTTTATTAGGTTCACAAAACTGGATACAATTCAGATAGAAGCTAAGTGATTTCTTAGGCTAATGACATGATGAGAATGTATCCTACTAGATGTGAACACAACATGCAAATTTTTTTACATATATTCGAAAATATGTGAACGTTAAATTTCATTGCAAGCGACTGTGTATACCTAACACGACAAATCTGAAATAAATATCGCACCTGCTCCTTGGCCTCTACGGGACTTTCCCGGGCATACTTCATTTCCACAGGTATTGGTAAACTCGCTCGACTGGGTAGGCTGCGGCGGTAGTTTCACTGTGAAAATTATATTTATTTACTGCACGGCTGCTAGTAACTCTGTATAAATAGAACAACAGCCTCTTTTTCGCATTAATCCTTTTATTTGTAGCCTTGGTTAGATTATTAAGGTATTTCTTACAATACAGTTAAATAATGGACGTCATACGGACATATTTTGTCGATTATTGAGGCAAACTTATTCAATATTGCGCTCTTCAAAATTAGGTCCGCCATGATACCATTCAAACAAATTTCATCAAAATTTTATAAATTAATAGTATTTTCATGCATTACTCTGGTATTGTAATATATATTTGGAAAATAATGAAATTACAAACTGAATCTGGGGATCTACTCATTGTTTTTTCCATCCTTTAACATCTACTCTCGTTCTCCGTTCGACACAATTCAACTGCCAAGTAAGTAGTACTCGTCCAATATAAAGAACCATGTCAAGTATGAAGCTTCATTCGCAATAAGCCTCTTTTAATTTCGTCGAGTGTTATTTATTTGACAGTAATTGTTTCAGGCGAAAGTCGGATGAGAACGAGAGTACAGCAGCTTGATTTTGATTGCCTCTCCCGATCGAAACTGCGTCTTTTCCGAGTCGAGGCGCATAATTGCGATTCACAACTGGCCGATCGGAAACTTTTGACATTTCAAATCGGAACAATAGTGGATTTAACTCACAAATTAGAACGGTATAGTAGGAATCAGGTACATCTTCTCGCTCAGAAATCCATCTGATTTCGAGACTACTCTGGGCGCTGGACGGTGGGCCTGGTTAGTATATACCTACACCATGTAACAAAAAAGCACTTAATTCAGCTACCGATTGTTGGCTCGCTTGATAAACTTTAGCAACAAAATAGTTCGAATTTATTATTAACATTATTTTTGGCACAAGTGCCATCAAATATCCTATTAACCGAACATAGTCTGTACACAGTGTATTTTAACCAGCCGAGTTATTGTGAAACGTTTTTGTTACACCCTTGTTACATGAATTACGAATATATTTTTTTCGAACAGACATTTAACATTGCCGTCTTAACCGTCTTTTAGGTAAAGTGAACGCACTTGGGATTTTCATCCTAGAAATTAAGAAAATTAAAATCAATTGATTTCTTTAAACATTGTTTATTGGGCCTTGAAAATTTACATCAAATACTTTACTCATCGAGTACATAACCAGAAATAGAGACGAAATGGCATTTAATTTGTTAGTAACTATTCTGTCAAATCATTGCGGTGACAACTGCGCTCCGATTGGTCAGCCCGAATTCGAAAGGCACTGGTGTCGTCAATTGTTTCACTTCAAATCGCCTAGTTTAACTTGAGCTTTGCTATAATGGACGAAAATTGAAAAATTACATATTTTTAATACATAATTACCGATGAAACGTGATTCCGTTGGTTTTGTAATTAGATGTTTTGCTGTTTTTCCCACACCACCGAATGGAATAGCCCCCCACTGTTAGAGATATTTATTATCTTTACAATTAAATACAGAATATTTTTGGAATATACGGAGACGTACACACAGGTCAGTTGTTGGCGCTGTACTATTTCAGCATTCTAATTTGTGATGTCAGCGCCAACGAGAGTTGATATATAAAAGTGATATAAGGCCCATTTGCCTGGTGACCTGTCAGGGATGGATAGCCCTTATTTCGTCTCCACTTCAGGTTATATACTCGATGGTTTTACTTCACAAAACCGAAAGGCGGGTAACAGTGCGCACTATATTGGGGTAAGTGAGCGCACATACAGGGGGCTATTAATACGCTTCCTTCGTTTTATTATAGAACACGATTCATTATCTCACCGCTTTTTGGGTTTGTTTTTCCGTTCTTCTATAGGGTCTCGAATTGCAGCAAATGTAGCAATTGTTTTTACAACTGGTCTTTCCTTAGCTAATACTAAAATAAAATATATGAAAGAATAAAATTTAGAAAAAACTAGCACAAACAATCGTGCGCATACTTACTCGCACATTACTCATTAATATTTGGTTCCAACTGAAAGTTGGTTGCTGCTATTTTTTTAACGCTTAACGAAGCAACAAAAATAATAAACAAAACACCATGTTCGTTAAAACATTTCAAATTCTCTATACCTTTACTTAAATTCCTAGTCTTGTTTGGTCCGTGTTTCTTCTACATAGCACTCCGTGAACACTCCGGCATGCTTCACAACATGTCCAGTGAGATGTCCACTTAATTAATAAATAGACAATGACTAAAAATTGAAAACCATGCGTCTTTGAATTCAAACAGCAAATTACCAAATGTTTCGGGCAATACAGGGTTATTTGTAAAATATTCACTTAGGCTCCACTAATACTGGCGCAGAGTCTAAGCGTCGCGTCCTGTTTTTTTTTAACTCCCGGATCACAGTGTGGTCGGCGTCTGACGCCTCACTGCGCGCAAGTAAAGCACGGCGACGCGCGAAACCCCAAGCGTCGTCGCGCGATTCCATATTTGCATAACATAAATTTGTACCTTAATAATGGGAAAATAAAGATGAATATGCTGAAAAACATGACGCGTCGTGACGCTTCGACTCGACCCGTGTGAGTTGTTCCAAACGCATATCGAGCATAGATCTCGATGCACCCGCAGGACTATAATCTAACGTCACAACAACTTTTGTTTCATGATTTTTTACAAAACACAATAAATTAACCGAATATAAGTTTTTGTTGAGTATCTCCAACTCTTTAGATCTGTATCTGGTAGTGATTAAGGTAGTAAGTTCAAACGTGCAAGCGTCCTCTCCGGCGACGACCCCCACACGCGCTCCTGCAATTGCACAGAGTTATCACCGTTTAAAGCGATATGTTTAAATAAGTTAGTAATAATTAAGTATAATCTGATGAATTATTAAAACTCATGGAACAACAGTTGTTGTAGTAATATACCCCAGAGAGGTTGTTAGTATTTTTTTAAATAACCCTGTATACGTAACTGATTCAGGCGCTTATTATTTTACCAATGTTATGATGTCACATAAAACAGAATGAAACAAGAAGTCCTACCATATTCCAGGTCACGATATCAAATTTTTTTGTAAGTATCACTATCAATCGTGAATGTTTTAGTACCTACCATGGTTGCAACTGCGGCCAATGGCTAATTGTACAAATCCCCGCAAGAAACGTTCGTGTTCGAGATGTCGCCTATTTTCTTGCTCCTAATATAGTTACAGGACGTGATAATCATATGCAAGTAAATAAAAGTGGTTTGTTCTTATCAATAACATATTGTACGTTTAATTTTTTACACCTTTACTGATCCACCAAATGAAATGTGCTTCACTACAGAACGTCAAAGATATTTACGATCTGATGCTGCGTTCCCTTCAGGTATCGCGCCGTTTCCGCCTGACCAGTAAGCAGAAATTTGTGCAACCATACTGGCCACAGGCGGGGGTGCCGGGGGTGCCGGGGGCGCCGGGGGCGCCGGGGGCACGGAGGGAACTCTGGGCATTTTTGGCTCAAAGCATTTCTGCCTCGGGCACGGTCCTTTAGACGCTGGACCGAGCTTAGCACTGCAGAAAGATTCTTTGGTCTTGGTACCTAGAAGAAATTGTATTAACTTAATAAGAATATACTAAATTTATTACATTCTCTTCCCTGTTCTATAATACTCGTAGAACTACTCAATAGAAATAGTGGGAACGAACGTGGGATTGAAGTTAAATACACGATTAATTTCTTGTGGAAATACTTATTCAGTTGATTCCACTTAAGTGTTATTAATCAAAAACACGTATATTAGAATTTGCCTTTCGATGTTCATTTAGCGTATTAGCCAATAGGCCAATGGAGATGAACAATATATATGTATGTATCTGCTGTATGTATGTATCTGGTACTTCTTTAATTTAATTTTAAATTACGTGTTATTTCAAAATTTGTAGCTCGCGAATCAATTACAGAGGATTAATAACAATAAAATAATAATAATAATAACTTATTTTATCCCCACAAACACAACAGTAGTAAGAGAATCTACCAGTGTACGTGCTGAAATGAGAGGCTCTTCGACCTCGCCGGCGAAGACGGTTGTTGCGTGTGGAGACGGACTGATTTACGATCTGCTTGGCCTTCAAAGTGGCGAGAGTGACAGGGTTGTCAGAGTCGTTGAGGACTTCCCTTCAGCCACAACGAGGGGGTTGGGGTGGTGAGGAGTACAGTCGAAGTATTTCCTCAATGCCAGTTTCATGAATAGGGCTGTTGTGGGGAGCCGCAAATCTGTGGAGATTGGCGTTGCGCAGGGCACCCGTCGCGTTATTTTGGAGAGTTTACTATGCTTGTTGAGAAGGCGGTGGAGGCGGCTCATAACAGTGGGCGCGATCGCGGACGGTTTTCACATGTGCTTTGAATAACAGCTTCCTATCGAGCGTAACACAATAAGTATTTGACCGTGTTCACCCAATGGATTGGGCGGCCAAAGAGCGAAATCGGGGTGAAGTCTTGTACCGTACGACTGGCTAGGTTACTTCGCGTGAAGAATACCGCCGCGTTTTTGGCTTCGATTCTCCATCTGCGAAACTACTCATCTAGGCGTGTGGTGGCAGATTGGAAAGCCGCGGAATAACTTCGAGCTGCGCGCCGAATAATATGCAATATAATATTATATAATAATATAATAATAACAATATTGAGCGCAGTGTCGTCGGCAATGAGGGGGAGATTTACTGACTGATACTTCGGGATATTGCTAGTGTACAGGATAGTGTATAGAAGGGGCGAGAGGACAGAGCCATGCGGGACTCCAGCTCTTACAGGGTGAGGGGAGGACAGTGCGCCCTCGACTCTGTAGCGGAAAGAGCGATTCGACAAGAAGTCTCGAATGATGTACACGAGACGATCAGGCACGCCGAGATTGTACTTTTGTAAAGGAAGCCATTGTGCCAGACTTTGTCGAAAACTTTTGCCACATCGAAGAAGAGGGCGCCGGTGGACATGAAGCGGGGACGATCGAAACGTACGGAGCTATGCTCCACTATCCGGCGCACTTGCTGAACGCATGAAGCCTAGCCAACTAAACTGAGCAATAGTTTATAATATAGGAACCCAGGTCCCTCTCCTCGGTTATCAATTATACCGTAAAAATATTGGAGAAGTTAATGACCAAAAAATACAAATAGGTACTGCTGAGGTTAACGTAAGTTATAAATTTATTCTTATACATAAATTAGCATGTGTGCGTGCGTTCGTTGATGCGTACGTGCATGCGTGCGTGCTTGTAAACATTTATAGCTAGGGCATGAAACCGATTACCCGGTTAATTAATATTTTAGTTAATTTATATACATTTTGGAACCCGGTTTTTGGGTAAAGAAATACCGGGTTTTTCGGGATATTCGGTTTTGTCTGTAAACTATTAAAACGTAAGTTTGAATCTCCTATTATCATTGTATCCTAATTAATAATGATAAATAAACGTTAATTAAATGCTAGGAACTTGGGTACCTAACTACAGGACAGCGACAGCGTCCTCGAGAAGGAGACGGGTAACTTTTGGGATAACGAGGGGTGAGCGAGGTGGGCGAGTGAGGTGCGCGAGCAGTATAGCAACAAATTCGAGTCACCTATGCTCTTGGCAGGCTATTCAACTGAATCCAAGGCGGCTAGTTGATATTCAGCGGAGCTATCCCATAAGTGGCAGTAGACCAGATATCGGCCGGTATATAAGACTGGATATGTGCTTGGTACGGCTTTTTTGAAGCGACTGTCCCGGTGTGAACTTACACCTCAACTTGGAAAGAATGTCAAGCTTCCCGGTTGCACTGCCACACGAGGTTACAATCGGTTTGGAGACCACGGGGACCCCCGAAACTCCCAGGAGATGTCCTCCCCTCCGGTTGCCAACAGGCAAGGTGAAGCATTCCGGTATTCTTCGTTGGGTGGCAGAGCAGCCTTTCACGGGTGGCTTTCATGCTACTTGGGCCCCCAACTTTCCACAGTCGACCAGCGGTGCACCGTGCTTCGGATCCCACTAGCCTCCAGAACCGAGTGCTCAGTATGGCAGTACAAGCAGTTACAACTCGTCATTAGACGCGACTGTTCAGACACGATCTCCTAATGGCAACTCCCGAATACGAGTCGGAACACGGTAAAAACCATTTGGCGACTCGGTTGCGTCGGGAGGGTGGTTACTAGGCACAGCCGAAGCCTACCACCAGTAGTTATTGCTCTGTAGCACTACACAGTGGTCACTTGTAGGGTCTCGAAAGTAAACTACGGAAGCGAGCAACACCAACCCCAAATTTGATGTTTTTTAGTTTTCTGACGCCTTCAAACCATTATTTGGGTGACAATAGAAAAATATCCGAAAATACCGGGCAACGGGAAAAGAAACGGTATTATACAAAATTGTACAAAATAAAGGTTATTAAGATATTGAGTAACTGTGATTGTAATAAATATTTTGAATTATTATTAATCCTTTGTGTGACGTAAATCAAATAATAACAATTAAATATTAACTTATACTGCATATAATTTGTTTCATGTCCTATTACCACTTAAATAATTAATACCACCTATATTGGAAAATAACATTTTCAGTATGTTTTCAGTATATAACATTAGTATTATAGAATTTAACAGAAAAAATGCAAGAGTTTTTTCGCTGCATCTGGCAATCTTACACGCACATACACATGCTCCATCTGCCTATTGTTTGTAATCTAAGGTGTGTACATATATAGCCAAAAGTATAACCGATACTCCCTTTGCAGAGAACAAAGTTCAATTCAATAGTCTCACTTCTATTAAGAACAACGAGACTTTTTAGTACCTACCGTATCAGACGGAAAAATCACACTATGACTATTTTATATCGCTAATTTCGTGAAATAGTGAAATACGGTATAGAAAATGAGTAGTCGTTTCCAGAATCGCCGGCGGAAAAGGCTAGAGTGCTGACAAACAAACAGTGTTGTTTTGGATTATGTTTCATCATTACTGTGATCATCATCGTAATTTTATCGTAGTACACTACGCCAATAGAAAGATATTTTTTGATTATTAATGACTACCCATTTTTTGACCGCCTGCCAGTGACCAAGTTTATTTATTAGCTACTTGTTTTCAAAGAGAAGGCTATATTAAATCTTCGAGAAATCATCTTTAAAATGCATTGACTTACAATTATATGGACATCGGGTGCACGCTAAAAAGTGTCCGAACTTATAGGGCGTTAAAATCGTATACAGAGCGTCATTCACGCTTTAGTCTTCGTTTGTTCGACTGACAGCGAAGCAAGCAAAATACGACAGTACTGCGATGACATTACAATTTAAATTCAACGTTTTAGTTTTTTCATATTCCTTTACATGTCACTACGTTTAAATAGGTTGACTTGGGACATTTTTTTCGTGGTTTTTGTATTAGACCCGTCTTCCATTTATTTGTAAGTCAATGTTAAAATGCGTTATAATGAACTTATTACCAGGACACGTTTGACGTGCATGTATGGACGGCCGGCATTGTCCTCCATGTCGTTGACATCTCTGATCGCATGGAGGTACTCCTCCTCCGCCAGGACATGTTGATTTCCTTGGTGGTAGAAGGGGTGGTGGCGTTTGCCGGCCCTTTTCTGATTGCGGGCCCAGTGATGGTGGCGAGCCCTGTGCTGGTGGCGAGCCCTGTGCTTGTGGCGCGCCCTGTGCTTGTGGCGGGCCCTGTGCCGGTGGCTGGCCCTTTGCTGGTGGCGAGCCCTGTTCTACTAGTGGGCCCGCTGTTGGTAAGGCGTTTAGCGATGAAATTCCTTCTGTGACTGCTGAAGCCGTATCTGACAATTGGCCGGGCCCGCAGCACGGAGGCGGAGGCGACGCCGGGCAAGTATTAACGGTGCAGCACGTCTCTGAAGATACAACGATAAAATTGAAGCATTTAATGAAATTTAAACGGCAACAATTAATTATGTGATACTTACCTTCACCGGTATCCTCCTTACTTTTCCTTGCTTCCTTCTTCCTATACTCTTTGCTTTTACTTTTCCTCGGTTCTCTATCGCTCCTTCCTGTCCTGCTTTGTCTATCTTTGTCTCTATATTTATCTCTGTCTCTATTTCTATCTTTATCATTATCTTTATCTTTATCTTTCATTAAACTCTCAATTGCACGGCGACAGCATGGATTCAAATCTTAAGTAAAGACAAACAGGATGTTATAAAACTATACTTAACGTGTAGCAAACAGCTCTTGTGGGAGTTTTGTTTTTTATCTAATTTCTCAAGGCCTTCAGATGTTGTAACGTCAGAAGGTAATAATGGTTATTAGGGTGTATAAAATCTAACCTTTATCACAGTTTTACATACCATACAGTTGCGCAATTAATGTACCTGCGCAGAGCAACGGCGGAGTACCTACTCCTTCGTAAAATTCTACGAAAATCTTTGTATGTGGCGCTCATAAACTGTTCTGTGCAAGGGTATAATCGATATCGACATATAATAGTTCCGAAACAATATTTTAGATAAACTAGTCAGTGTGTTGGGATATTCTCAACCTTAAATACAATAACGTTAATTTGATCTTCAGTTCTCACTTCAACATAATCATGTCTCTGCCCGTGATGCAACAGCAGATCGCTCACTAATCAAGAAAATTCATGAGGCTACGAAAGAGTGCTTGAACGCTATCAAGAACCTGGGTGTCGACTTAACTGCCTGGAACCCATTACTTGTCCACATCATTTGCCAAAAATTGGATGCTGAGACGTACAAACATTACATTAAAACAGTTAATTTGCCCCGAGAACTACCATTGTTTTCAGAGTTTTTCGAGTTTTTGAAAAACAAATTCACTTCATTCGAAGACAGCAGTCTTGCTTTCTCCGAAACTACACGACTTTGTGCAAAAATCAGGCTTTCATAATTCGATATTTAATATGAAAAAAAATTCCTCAGCAACAGAATATCTCCAACCTCAATAAAAATCATAACACGGGCAATACCTACAGCAACAAGCCATTGGCGAAATCGTATCACGTATCATCCACAAACACCTATAGATGTGAGCATTACAAAGACGCTCATTCAATTTTCTTTTGCGATGAATAAGTTGCCAAATGACATGAAATTTGCGACTTTGCATCAATTGTTTTACGATTACAAGGGGAGTAAATGCACGATGCATTTACGAAGCCTTCGACTTCGTCAGCCTATATATATCTCGAACAAAGAAAAGGTGAATGTGTCTCAAAATAGCATATTTTATTAACTACTTCACGGATCAAGGTTCAAGCAGCAGATGCAGCAGATGCAGCAGATGCAGCAGAAAGCAGCAGACTCTTATCAGAATATGCAGGCTCTCATTGATCAGGACTCTCAAATATCTCTTATCACAGAGAATGCGGCACAAAACCTCGGTATACCTCAACGCCGTTACAAAGGAGTAGTGTTTGGCCGTGCCACATAAGAGAACAACTGCAAGGGAGCTATGAACATATCAGTATCAGCAATACATAGCAAGTTCAGTTTTAATACCAATGTAGTCATTATGAAAAATTTAATCAATAATTTACCAAATCAGACGTTTCCAAAACCAAACTGGCACACACATCTAAAACATATGTCTGACAGATCCAGAATTTCACATCAGTCGCCCAGTGGATATATTACTGGGTGCTGATGGATGGAATGGAACTGGCAACTTAGCACACAGCCTGCTCGGGGTATTGGACGACCATTCGCCGAACAATATCAGAAACACCTTGAGTTACTTCGCATGAATCAGAAACACATTGCAATATTATGGCGAAATCAGACATCAATTGTGGAAACACAATATAACTTACTACAAAGAGTTGAAGAAACCATGAGTCTACAGCTCAAATATATCAATAAACACATTAATAAAATAGAGCAGATGACTAAAAGCATGAAAGGAAGTGAAAACAGCCATAGTCTTGCACTATAAGAGATTATAGCAAATATTTACTATGTTACAAAACTTGAGACATTCAAGACTATTTGATGGATACCATAGCTGGTTCCAAAATGAATTGAACCTTATATCAAGTCAATTAGCGAAAGATCTATCATTACCAATTAACAACGTATTTCCCTATGATACAAGCAGATCTTCTACGGTGTGGCCGATACGATGACGTCACCCACATGTGTTCATTGCAGACACTAGTGCATCATATGACTTCAACAAATATTTATGCGTCATGAATGAAGAAGCCAAACAGTGTGCTATCAACAACGGACGCTGCAAAACTTCATGATCAGACTAAATACATACTTGTTTTCATGTTGACAATGCATTGTTCGTATCATATGCGGGAGTCAAGTTACATTTGAACAATTAAATGGAAATAGAATTATAACCATAAGCGGAGTTTGCATAATAAAACATGCAGATTTTACTATCTACTCACATAGACAGCAAAACGACACACTGATGTTCGAAGTCAATGTTTAAATATAAAAATACCTTCGATAAATCACATCATTGATCTACCCATTACCGTAATCAACCCTACGAGCACATTATCAGAACCGAAAGAATACGACAACAATACGTATTTCCTTCAGAAGTTACATGAGATTAGAAAACAGATTCAGAAGATGAATGAGAGTGAAGTAACGTAACGAGTAAAGTGAAGTAACCGACATCCCCTCATCTCACGATGTCACCCGATGTTCGGAAAAATCAGTACCACATCACGAATTGTGATTTTTATTGGATTAACATTGACATAGCGCAGACCACGTAGATGCCGCAGACCTCGAGCAACATCAGCGCCTCCCGCCCGAGTACCACTCTGCCACCCGCGCCTGCCACGAGTAAGCAGGACGGCCGCTACCGCGCACAGCAAGCGAACATGGTCACCCCAAATGCACTTTAGTTCTATAACTCACTCGCAAGCCATCGCTCATTCCATCTATCAGTTCTCATTTTAGCAGTTCTTTTAGCAATAAACTTTCACATTCTATCATACTCTTATCATTGAAAGGTGAACAACCAGCACGTACAGGCAGTGTCAGATTAGACACGGGCGGCGGACTCGCTGAACATCAAAGGCATTGCGCTTCACTCTCGCAATCTTGCGTTTATACGATATTGCCATCCCTCGACGGGATTTGTTATGCGATGGCGTTCCGAAGTACAACTTAAAACATTACCTAACGGAATCCATTGTTTGTTAATATATTTTATGAATGTATTTATTTCATGTGTAATTTCAGTTTCATTAATTATGGCATTCGATGCCTCTGGAATGAATTTTGTGGGTAATAAAGGCAAATGGTGTTTTTGCCTTTATTACCCACAAAATTCGCGCCATTTTTCTACCATTTTTTATATAGGTCGTATATAGGTAATGTGTAATAAATGTATTCTATTCTATTCTATTCTATATTTCTAAGTGGCCGATTCTTTAAAAAGTATGATAGGTAACAGATAAAAAGATTTTAATTATAGAATTCATATGGAGTGCTTATTGATTAATCGATGTGTGATCATCAGATCTTTAGACGTAATTAGTTTAAATAAATGTCTGGGCATGGTCTTAAATTGGCGAAAGGGTCTAAAAATAGTAAAAAAAAAAATTTATAATTAAAAAATAAATGGTCATTTCAAGAAGTGGTCAATTCAAGACGAAGTCAATTCAAGAAGTGGTCAATTCAAGAAATGGTCAAATTTCAGAAGGTTATTTGAATATGTGGTCATTTCTCATTGTGGTCCTAAAGGTCCGCCGAAAGTAAAAATCCTCTAATTTCTTCATTACATTCAAACAAATTTTCTTTTCACTTCTCATGCTCTTAAAGTTCGTATTTATGCTGGGTGTTGGCTGCATAAAATAGGATTTTAGGCTCTAGTGCATAAAGTAGGATTTTATGCTCTAGTGCATAAAATAAAAAACCATCACATTAAATATGTCTAATTGTTGTAATTTTACATTCAATTTTAATTAAATAATCGTTTATTTGTATCGAAGTGAAAAGTAGAGTGTATAACTCGTTCATAAAACCCATTTTACCCTCGACTTAAGTATCCACCTTCGCCTGAGCCTCGGTTGGATATACTCGTCTCGGGTAAAACGACGCGTTTTATTTAAAAATAAAGCAATACTCGAACAGCACAATGGGTGATTGTTTTCCGAAAAGAAATAAAAATGATGTCAATACAATAGTATACGTAATATACTACTAGATTGTGTAATTGACCTGTATCATTGTGTAATTGATGATGTAATTTACATGTAACATTTTTTCATAGCTATTGAAAAATTCACTCACACTCGGATTAATTATTTTTTGTTTTTCACATACATAGATACATGTATAAATATAGCTACAAAAAGTGATATAGAGTTGTTAAAACCACCAAAGTTTAATTCAGTACTTTTTTAAATTCCTGATTTCCGGAAATGGTTTTACTGCATGATGATGCATGATCCGGATGATGCTTATGATGCTCAAGGTGCTGTTATGCTGATGACGATTATGCTAAAAGTGCTAATGATTCTGGTGGTGCTGATAGTGCTGATGATGCAGGTTGTTCTGATGATTCTGGTGGTGTTGATAATGATTGGTCAAGCATGACGCCGATATTGGTTTATCAATATATTCATCAGCCTCATCAGCACCATCTGCATTATCCGCACCATCAGAATCAACAACTTTCGATTCAAAAACCCTATAGCCAGACTTTACCTATCACAAAATTTACAAAATTAAACGCTCAACTACCGTTGACACTACATCTGTGTTCTACATTCTAAGCTGGCAAGTGTTTGTCATACGAACCCTGACAAGCATCCGGGGCGTCTGGCGGTTTTGGCGAAGGATCTGCGGACAATAGCGCTGTTATAAATATCGTCTTACTAGGCGGCGCAGGCGCGTTACATACGCCGGCATATAGTTACTATCTGTACTGTCCACCTGTATACGTGAGTCGTTGAGACGTACGTTTATGGAAATATTTTTGTATTTTATGAAGCTTATTATGTCTTGAAAATAGTATAAATTGGGTCGATTTGCACCGTAAAATAATTTTTCGCTCGGAAATGTTTACATTATTTTCAAAAAACGAACACGGAAAGTTTTTAATTTATGGACCATGCGACTTCTTTCCGGCCAAGGCTGCAAAGTTAAGTATGAAAATCCATTAAACTTTTAAATCTACCTACTATAATGACTTGCAAAACTGGCAAAAGAAAAACTGATACAGCCAACTGCCCAGTGTTCATAATTGCGACAATTAAAAATACCTACCTGTACCGTTTTGGTATTCTTTTGTTTTTTCGTCTTTTTTGTATTTTGGTCGTGAAAATGAGTGTTAGCAATAACGAAAATACAGTAATAGATACACATTCAAACACATCATCAGAAGTTCAACAGACTACTGGTAATGTGCCTGGAAAAACAATAACATTTTCTTTGAGCTATTTTTTCTAACACATCAAGTTATTTTTAATATATAATTATTTTTTTTACTTTATCTAGTATACATCTTCCTCTCTTTAGTCTTTTATTATTTTCTCGCATTGTTTGAGAAAAAATATATACATGCCTCTGCTCTCGTTAGTCTTTTATTTTCTCGCAATGTTTGAGAAAAATTACATACATGCCTCTGCCGCGCATACTTCCTTCACGAGTGAGGTGACCTAGATCTCCTCACTCTTGAAGAACTCATATGCTGGACATGGGCCTTCTATACGACATTGTGCGTGGACGTCGAATTGACCAGAATTGCTGGAGAGTGTACCACTACGGGTACCTTTGCGTCGCACTAGACATACGACACTTTTTCAAGTCCCTTTCAATTGCACGAATTACTGTATCCATCCAAGTTCAAACACGTGTAAAAATTTCAGCTTGCAGGGATGGATACATTTTTCATTGATGGTTTGTATACTTTGTTATAATAGCTATTATGATCCCTATTCACAATTCAAATAAGGTTTAATAAAATTACTAACTATCACAAGGAATTCTCAAATTTTGGCAAGGCGCTTGATTTCTGGGTCCACATCTGCCTTTTACCGAGCTTGACGGCTTTGAGGTTCGCTTATCGAATGCACAACCAGGACGTATATCAGCCGGTATTTTCCCGCAACAAGTCTGCCCGGGGCGAGCGTCACCTGAAAGATTTTAAATAATTTTAACGAGAAATCATTTTCATACTTGGCATAACCAACACATATGTTTTTTTTTTAATTCATGGGAAAGTAAAATTACAAGTAAGTGTGTTGTGTAGGTACTCGTTGTTATGAGAATGCAAAAAAGATTTGTATAGAATTTAATGCTTCTTACTTTCCCGTATGTGTAAACTTTGTTTTGACACTTTGAAAACTCTAACCCGTAAAATGTATCTAGATTAGAATGCCACGTATGTGGAACAGAATCAGTGTGATGTTAAAATATATCGAATGAACTTTATAAGGTTAGACAAAGTATAATTTACTTTTCTCACATGTAGTCTGGGCACTTGTTCATTTACCTAAACATGGAAATTTCATTATATAAGAATTGATTTTCAAAAAAAGTGGATTACAGGAGCAATTTTGAAAAAAATATTGTTCATTTAGTTTCAAATTAAGACTTTCCTCTGTGACCTTTCACACATTTCACATTACGTTTAACATTTGCTATTCACATTGACAATCACATAGATAACGTACATGAAGATATTCTAATACGGCACTCCTGAAAGGAGATGGAGATCTTACTTAATACATGAAACAACCTACTACACACATCAAAAGTGTCTAGGGATCAAGTGAATATTTTTGAAATAAAAATTATTTAAGCAATATTTACCAAATCCAGTCTTCCAGGACGACTTCTTACTTTAATGCTTATGTTTTATTTAACCGCTTACCCCTATATTTAATTAATATAAACTAAAATTGATGTTTTTGCAAATTGTGGGAAAAAACTCAAATTAACGGTGTCAATTAAATGACAAAAAAAATGGCGAAAATGATGATTTTGCTCAATTTTTATTGTAAAGATAAGAAAATTAATAATCTGTATTTCCACCATTAACACGAATCACACAATTACAGCGATTTGGCATGCTTAAGATGAGTTCATCAAAATCACTTTGAGGAATGGCCGCCCATGTGTTTTGTAACAAGTCAAAATATTGTTGTAGAGTATGTACGGTATGCATACTCGGCACAGCTCTTCTTTGAAGCATATCCCATGCGTGCTCAATTGGATTGAGGTCTGGCGATTGAGCAGGCCACGGCAGAACGTTGATACGAGCTTCGGCAAGAACGCGTGTTACGACTCTAGCCGTGTGTGGACGTGCGTTGTCATGCATTAGTTGAAATGAATCACCCAACTGGCCTCGCAAAGGGATGATAACATCTGAAACAATCCTCTCTGCGTAAACTTGAGCATTGAGGTTACCCCTGATCCAAATGAGATCGGTTCTTCCGCCGATCCAAATACCGGCCCATATCATTATTGTTCCCCCACCATATGGATGAACTTCCTGACAATATCTCAAACGTTCATGACGTCCAGATGTTCTCCAAACACGAGTACGTCTTGTATCCGGTCTCATACCGAAGCGGGATTCATGCGAAAAGCACACATAGCGCCAGTCTTCTTCCTCCCAGTTTCTGTGTTCGCGAGCCCATCGTAAACGGGTCCTGCGATTGCAGGGTGCAATAGGTGGAACTCTGAGCGGCCTTCGGGATCGCAGACCCACTTCACGTAAACGATTTCGGATTGTTTGATCGCTTATTAACAAGCCTGAGGAGCTGTGGAGCCTCGTAACCAACATCATGGCGGTCATGGTACGATTCCGTCGAGCAGTATTTTGGATATACCGGTCCTGTCTGCGAGTCGTGATGCGAGATCGTCCTCCATGTCGCTCGGCCACGCTGCCCGTCATGCGATAGCGCGTCCAGAGGCGACTTATGACGCTCTGTGTAGTGTTAAGAGTGAAAGCCACAGCACGTTGCCTGGAACCAGCTTCCAACATTCCGACGGCTCGCATCATCACTTCTCGGGTTAAATGATGTCGTCTCTCCATAATAATGTAAATTGTTTCGGTTCCGATGCAGATATTGTAATGATTTTGTCAAAACGCTATAACTCATTTTTATACAAAACCACATTGACAATCGATTTTCTTCTTATTATCGAATTTTAAACAATATTCCTTATTTAAATGTTAAAACTCACTAAAAAGTATCAATAGCGATACAAAAAAGTTAATATAATTAACCCTAATTGCAGCAATACTCTTAAACGTACTTGATCCCTAGACACTTTTGATGTGTGTATATTTAAGAGTGAAGGGCAGAACAAAATTTGTTCACTCAAGATGTAAGTCTCAAAAAGTATCTACATAAGCATAGGTATTACTATTATTGTTTTTATAATATCAAGTGACGGGACGAACAAGTCGTGTACCTGGTTGTAAGCTACACGCCTGTCCATAACAGTTGCAGTGCCATTAAGAACCTTATATCGCAAAGGTCTGAGGAGCACTGCCACGCGCCTGCATAAGGTGCCAAGTACCATGTACTGTAATTTCACCAGCACGAACAGTGTATGTTCCCAGGACGAACTCTTTCACAAGGGGCTCTACTGCTACTAAAATTTAATTCATTAGCAATGGCTAGTTAACGATTGAAAAATGTGTCTCCTACAATAATATGGTAATTTACTATAGCCATTTATATTGAAGATTTCTTCATGTTTACTTCCGAGCACCAAAAGACAAGCCATATAAATTGCTCAGTTCCAACTTCAAGATCAATTGCTTGGATCTCTATGTTGGGTAAGAAAATTTAAAATGGAAACAACGGGTTTGACAAGTTGACATAATAAGAATGAAAAGGTTGTTAGCCAAATTGGGCATAGAAGGTTGTTAGAAGATGGTGGACTTCTATGGAGGTCAACTTCATCTGTCAAAAGCAGAAACAGTTGATACGCGGTTTGCACACGTCCAGATATAGCATTTCCGTGCAGTAAACTTAACCAACAAAACACTTGTTATAAGGAATCGCATTGGCTCACGCAGATGAAAATTATATTCAGGGTTTCTAAATACTTTCGGCTTTTGCATTGTAAAATGACACTGGCACAAACAATAAAATGTGGTTTGCTCTAGCATAAAGCTGAATACTCTGCTCTTCTCACAGGGAGTTCTGTAAGAGACAAAATTCTCACAAAAACTTTTTATTCCCGTCGTTTTAGCCGGTCATTATAGCCTGTGACCACCAGAACTTATAATTTATAATCATTTTTATGATAGCCATAGCTCACTGAAAATGGCAGAGATTGAATGTTTTGGGAGAATTAAACAGACTTTTCTCATAATTTTATGCAAGAAGGCCTTCAGGATCAGACTTGTTTAAAAAACTTTGATTGACACAAAACATGAGTCCTTTGTAAAATCTTTTGGTCTATTTTATTGTTGTGTAGTTTATTATTCAATTACTGCTGTATTTTCTACTATCGTATTATGTTTAACTTTAAATTTCTATTTATGATTCGAGTAAGGGACAGTGTTGGAGGAAATTTGTAATACACTACTACAAATTTAAGTCGTACTAATTTTGTCAACCTGTCATTCTAGTCAAGCTAAATTTTACGTAGTATAAAAGATATTTAAAATTATACTCCGTAGTTGTATCTACCACATATTTGGTGTGCCTTTCGCCCCTCCTGAGGCCACTGTATTTTCAGGCTAAGACAAAGTACGTATATTAAATACCTTCAATGGATTCCTTAGGTTTTTGGTGAGGTATGCGTGGTATTCTACATCCCACACCCTGACTTGGATTAGGTCCACAAGATTTCTCTGACTTTGCTGTACAAATAAAATACAAGAGCATTAACTGAAGTACACAATTTTCCTCGGTTCGTCATCCGCCTTGCTGACCCGAACAGGACGATGCACACCTTACCTTGCTGCATCAAGTAAACTCTGATTTTTATTAGAATGTGCTAGAGATGAATGACACCACTTGCACTTGCGGGCGCGTGCGCGGGCGCGTGCGCGTGTGCTTGTCCGTGTGCGTGTACGTGTGCGTGTGCGTGTGCGTGTGCGTGTGCGTGTGCGTGTGCGTGT